AGTCACAAAAATAGACGGACCCAGGTGGCTGACTTCGATGCAGGCAGTGACGGTTTATTTACAGTATTAAATAAGTGACAAGAAATGAACAGTAGTGTAATAATGGGACCGGGTGTCGAGCTTAGGAGGTTACACAGTCAATGGTGGAGATGATGAGAAGAGGACCGGGCTGCGGACACTGGGACTCACTCCTGGACTGGTCGAGTTGGATGGTACTGAAGATGAAGAGAAAGAGTACATACGGTAAGTAGTAGACTGTGCATCGACCTGCAGGGTGGAGATGAAGCAGAGCGGAAGAGGTCCGTGGTCCGAAGGAGTGACTGTGGTGAGGAGGGAATGAATCTAAGCAGCTGGAGAGAAGGAGACAAAACTAACACAGAATCAAAAAGAACGACAGGGAACAAACAGGCCTGAGAAATGCTAGAAAGAACTGGCAGGGGAGTGAACGAAGAGCAGGGACTAAATAGGGAGAAACTAATCAAGTGCAGCTGGTGGTAATCCGGGGGTAAGGAGCAGGTGTAAAGGATAACGTAATGAGGGTAAGGTAGTGAAAACAGAGTGAGGGGAGTGAGAAAGTAGGTTCAGCCGGGCAAACCTGACAAGATCAAAGAAGGCGGAAGAAAAATATGTCATATAAGAACAAATTAATTGAGATTTTGAGGAGATGTAAGAAACTATATTACTCCAAAGTATTAGAGGATAATGAAAATAAAATGAAAGGTATTTGGTATATATTAAATTAATTGATTAGAAACAGTTCCAGCAAGAGTAACTACCCTCAATATTTTATGGATAATGCTACACCGGTCAATAGATTGGAGGATGTAGTTGATAAGTTTAATAGGTTCTTTGTGAATGTTGGTCCTGGTTTAGCAAAAAGTATCTGTACAGATGATACATCCGTCACTATAAATAATAATACAATCGAAAGGAACATGAGTTCTATGTTCTTGAAGCCCATAGTTGAAAAGGAAATTATAGAGATAGTGAACAAATGTGGTAATAAAACATCTAGGGATAGTGATGGTATCACCATGACAACTGTTAAATGGGTAATTGAGGGGATATGCAAACCATTAACCCATATTTTTAACATGTTGTTTCGACTTGGGCAGTTCCCCAATAATATGAAAATAGCAAAGGTTATTCCACTGTATAAATCTGGTGATAAGCACAAC